TGTTGTTCCATTTTAATCTTCTGCAATTAAATTGCCGAATAGATCTTGTCTGTACTATCTGTCTGTCTGTACCATGCAGGCATGCATATCTCTGTAGTGAGTGACATGTTTGAACTTGTGCTGACACTTGAAATTATCCGAAGGTAGTACATTTTTACAGCACTGGTGATGCTACGGTCTATGTACTACATTTTCCTCATGTTTTAATTCTTTCAGAAATTCTTTAGACAAAAAGTGGGCCTCTAAGTTAAGGACAGACAATTCCGTAAGAGCCTGATTTGCTTGGCCTGTGGATATCATGAACTGTAGACAGTTCGACTCAAATTTTCAGGTGAAGGAATTCAGAGAACGACGGGTACAAGTAGATGGTTGGAAAATCATCCTATACAGTTTTGAATCAAGACGATAATCATTATAACGACTATAGCAATCGAAAACCCACTTCGTAAATATTGAACTCGTTAGTTAACTGCTGGTTTGGCATTCTTATACTAATTAATGAGATACGCTCTTGAAGGTAAGAACTCAATGAGTCAAAAATGAGCAAGATTCCATTGCAGAAAGCCGATCTTTTGCTTACTTATAGGGTCGGCTTAGTTGCAACGAGTTTCGGACGGAAAGTAATGTAGAAGTGTTAGATAATAGTTTGTGTGCATGTCACAGAGGGAGCTGTTTTGATGCAGGCAAAGGAACGGAAAAGCCGTTCTAACATTCAGCAACATTTGTATATTCGCTGTCATATGCAACAGCCGAGTAGCTCAGTTATGACGCTAACTGACCAGCGTTCCACGATTTCTTTTTAAGGGTTTTTCTGAGGAGAGGTTGCGAACTTCGCAACTCAGCTGGCAGAAGACGACCTGACAACTCGGTGAGTGAAGAAGTGAGTGCGAGAGGCCGGTGACCGATCGCTACGCCACCGCCGTTCTGACTGAAAAACGTTCGGCGTTATCTGGCCCATTGTTCGCGAGAGATTTTCGATCATTGTTCAACGCATGACACGATTGTACAGCTAAATGCAGCGGTACATTTCATGTCTATTGCCGCTACAGTGTAATAGTAGATATTCTGCATTTTTATTTTTACGTCACCATCGAGGTGGTAACTCTGAGATCCACTGCCCCCCTATGTCGTGTGAGGCTGGGCAGCTTGACTGTGATCAGGAAAGCAAGAAGCAGCCTGCTGATTAGCCGGTGAAATTCAAAAAGTCAGCACATGGATTTCATCAACAGTAATATGCTATCGATCGAAGATCGAAGCACACGTTCGCTGAAGATCGCATTTCACAAGCGCATCAGGACACAGTGAAACGATGGATCTTTCTGTCAGGTCGATCAGCAACCATCGAATGCTCTCTATCTTCTGTGACATATAAACGAAGTATCGGTACCATCGTAATGTTCATTTACAGTTCTGAATGTTGAACTAAATCGTTTTGTTTTCAAGTACGTAAAGGAACAGCAAAACGTTGTTTCATCACGTGATGTACCGCTAGTGCATTTTAATGTGTATCATTTCACGGTCCTTATTCAGGGTAAGACTCAGTGATTCCGTTTATGCAGCTCATTCTCTTATTTAAACATCGAGGGTCAGCAAATACAAGAATAGCCAACGATTAATTTCACTGTGAAGAAGGTCCTTGAAATACAAACCGAAACGTCGACAGCGATTTGTCACCTCGAAAAAGCATAATTTTGCGATGTGTTAAACAAGCTGAGTGATGCAGCTTTTCAAAACTACCAACGCAAGAAAGACTAACAGGCCAATAATGACGTTTTCCAAATGTGCTTCGTTTAATATATCCATAAAAACAGTTGGCTTTACTTTCGCGGTTGCGGCTATTGCATGTGAATTAGAATCTGTCCTTTCATCCTCATCCCTAGATTTAACGAGAACGGCTTCCTACCTACTCGATGGCATCAACGGTGGGGCAGCGAATGTTACGTACCATTTCAACGAGAGAAACTATTGGCTCCAGGTTGAGAATCGACTCGTCTCGTCGCTCTTCAGGGTCCGCCTGCAGTGCGGAGGCTAAAGTTTCTAAATCAAATAAAATCAGGGGATGACTGGCTATCAGCACTAGAACTGACAACTGGTTGTTTTGAAACGCGACGGTGTTATGAACAGAAGCCAGCATCAAACAAAATATGTTTCGAACCAATCTTATATGTTGAAGGGCAGACTCAAGTAAACGATAAATTTGCACTGACTGATCAATCAATAACGAAAGTAAAATGTAGTAAAATGTTTAACTTAGTGCTGACACTGTAGAGTGTTGCGAAAGTATGATTAAAAGTGCCATTATGCCTGTGATTGGTTAACGTGCACAGATATTTTGAAAAAGTCATTATAAAGTGTGAAAGTTGCACTTTGGAAAATCCGGAAAGTTTTCTGTAACAACGGTTACAATACTCGCAGCATAAAAAATACTGAAACCTGAGATGGTGAGGCATCTCGCAAATGGCAAATTCAGTACTGTGAGGACGCAAAAATGACTCGAAAAACTCATAGACAGCATTAGATCTATGATGACCATTACAAAGTAGAATTCATTAGTGCATTGCCTCTAAAAATCACTGTCTGTGGACGCAGTATCAGTCGCAAAAACCATTACAGCAGTTTCAAAGTTCGTTTTTGGATATGAATGAACAAAATTGACTCTAATCATCAAAAATATGCAAGCCAGTATGACGGGAAAATAGCGAGATTTTTAATGTGCAGATGGCATCGTACTGCTGCATGACTGTGCCAGTGATTTACTTGCACAAAACGGCTGTGAAACTTGGGTTACTAGCAAACCTGAAAAATCCCGATCGTCAGACCCGCTGCCTCCGCTGCAACTTAAGTCCAACGATGTTATAGAACTTTAAGACGATAAACAAACTGCCATTTCGAATACCTCAGCATCGTTTTACACGGGGATTAGAGATAACAACTGCAATTCAGCGCATTTAACTGACATCAGTGAATATGTTAAATGTTATGGACAATAAACATATAAGTATGTCATGGACACTTGTTTAATTCAGTAGATCGAAGATTAAGAACGTAAACGAATGCGGAAAGGACAGTTCTGGCATTCAACTGTCATGAAACGCCTCGTCATTAAGTTTGATATGTGACACAAACCAACAGACATCAAGAGAGTTAAAATAAGCTGTCAGAGAGGCTAAGAAATAAGAAAGACCTAGATTGAAAAAGTGATTTTAAGAGGAAAAGCAGTATGCTGAGGAATTTTCCTTCGTGGGAACTATGCATTGATCAACGATGCATTGAAGACAAGCAAAAGTTCAGAAAATAGCAGTAAAGACTGGCCCAACTGACTGGTCATTCACTTTTTATCGTTGCAAACAGCGACATCTATGAGGCGATCCGTCTGACAGTTTCGAACAGCTCCTACATTACTAATCTACTACACTCTGTTTCAGTGTTGACTGGTTTCAAACGACGACGGCAAGAAGAGAAGCCAAGAGAATGAAACATCGTGCGACTGCGATGACATCCGGCTACTCAAATGTACAGTTGTGTGTATGTGTGTTTGTGTGTGTTTGTGTGTGTATTTGTGCGTGTGCACTAAATTCCATTTTGTCACAATCATTGCAGTTACGGAGCTGCATTATGCAGATTTACCGCTGTGTTTGCTCTGTTCGGACATAGTTTATACCTTAGAGGCGTTATATTGCTCCTACAGCAGTGGTTTCTCAGTGTCAGTAGATTTCTGCGTAATCTCTTACTCTGCGAAGTGTTGCTCGACAAATGATCGTTCTCTGGTAAAAAAAAGTCTATGCAAAATGGATGGCGGAAGAAACAGAAATAATTTTCTATAACTTGATGAAATGCATATTCTTTCTTGTTCTAATTCGGCGTATTTTCCTCACCTTCGCACCTTCGTTCACATGCCTTCACATAGATGCACTAAAACGCAACCGTTTGGTTATGATGGTAACTAAACATTAATTCATCGATCAGGTAACACCCCAGTTAACCTGTTAGTTCTGCGGCGGATAAAATCGAACAGCAGCAGTGCTGTTCTCCACAAATACAGCCTCCAACAAGCCAACAACACGGGGACGCAAGTGCTCAACGACCAGCGTGAGGTTCCTATTCCAGAGTGAAGTGAAGTACTTCAAACTTCAAAAACTTTTTCTCCTGGACTTTCGTGGCAAGGATGAGGTAAGCAGTTGACAAGAGACTTCACCGAAACCTAGCAAGCTTCCAGATAAAACACCCCCACCCTGGTCAAATGTTCACTCCGTGTAGGATCGATGAACAATTTTTACGACGCCATTTGCTTCGATTGCTTGTCTCATCGACCTTAAGCTGCAGTAGATCGTCCAACAATGTGGAAATTCTTGAGCGTTTATGCGATACTTGATTTTGGAAAAGAGGCGTGCAGTATCCATATATGCTGTCAAAGTCAAAGAAGAGCTGTACGAAAAATTCTCGATTACCTGTAAAGTTTGCCACGGAGATGTCTTTCGCTTGTGCTATTCAACATTTTTCTCGATTATTTCCGACCGGATGTCTTGCTGACTCCGGATACGCAGATAATATTGTCTTAGAGAGTATCACGAGAAGCGAGGTCTGTAACCATGACGGCTTCCGTGCGCAACATAGCTACGAAAGTTGGCCTCTTCCTTAACGTCCGGCAGTCAAGAGTTATGAGGAACCCACGCGGCATAGCTGATTTACAAGTGGGATAGGGAGGTGAAGCTCTTCAACAGGTTGAACAGTTTAAGTATCTCGCCCCATCATCCATCTCCTGCGATGGCATTATCCAGCCAGAGTTATACAGGAGGATCGCCCTAGACTCGAGTGCCTTGGTAAATCTGCCCCATATCTGATTAAGTAAGATGTTACTATTTCCACATAAACCCGCCTGTATCTTGCCTCTGTCATTTCACTCTTGTTGTATGGTATGGAGACGGTTGTTCTAACGAAGGGTCGACGACGATTGAACTGCGTACAAATGTATTGACTTCAACGGATAGTTAGGGTTAAATGGCATGATCATGTAAGAACGACTATATTCTCTTCCGGGCACACGTGACCTTATCAGATGTTGAGATTAAGAAGAGAAGGTTGGCGCGGTCAGACATATTGGTTCAGCAGAAACCATTTAGACTAGCCCATGAGAATCTCGTTCGCGAGTCAAACGCGGCAAACATCGACCAGCAAATCAGCATGCAACATGGAGAAATAAGACCGGCAGGGTTGCTTTCATAAACGAATATTTACTTCTACGATGCAGCGGATGGTGCCTTGTAGAGAAACGGTTAAAAATCTGCGAATATGACAAGTCAGAGACTTTCTGTTTATGCAAACGTCTTAATATAAACATCAAACAATATGAGTGGGCAGGGAACGTATGTATCTTTGCAGTGGAGACCTGCCACCAACCGAACGGCTGAACAGCAATGGCAAATCAAGAGTTAGCGACTTCTTCACGCATTAAAGCAAATCTGAATAGGAAAGGGGCATCGACTCTAAACGCCGAGGCAGGAAGAAGAAGTTTAGGGCGCATTACTAAACTAAACTAGACGAAGAAATTATGGCAAATTTTCATGATATCGTCTATCGCATGAAAATACATCATGAGCTGACAGAACCTCGCTGCTTTGCAATCAGATATTACTTTATTTATGTAGAAATAAACTGATTTACGCTGGTTTCAGCGTGAGCATCAACGC